GCTGTAGACGTCCTGGAGGACCTGAAGGATTTCTGTTCCTCCCATATCAGCCTGCATTGACTTCACCTTCTGCACAGCAGTTTCCATGTTGGCCTGTGTGTACTCCACACTCTCACTAAGCCAGAAAGGAAGATTTAACCCAGTGATGCAAAAATATACTGGGCTAAACAGAAAGCTTTTTTTAATACTAAACCACTAAATGACGTTATGAGTGATTACTGACGGGAAATAGGATTCAAAGTAGGAGCCAAAGCCATAGATGTTGAAGTAACAGCCAACAGGAAGACTCTTCAACAGCAGCAGTAAAGTGTCCTAAACAGGGAACAACGTAAGGAAACATCAGATCTAGCATGTATCAGTAGATGTTACTGTGCACCTTTAGCTCTCACTATGCGTCAGTGGGTGTATCAGAGAAACTCAAGGTATTTGGTATGATGGTTTTAGTGACCTCACCCTAGCGCTGCTGATGCGAGTCTGTTCGTAGTTGCTTTGGTTCATTGGACAGTCCATGCTGCCTGAACGATCCACCACAAATATAAACTCCCCTTTGGAAGTCATTTGAGAAGATGGTATAGATGGAATCTCTGGGTAGAAGCTCAACATGGCTACAGTGTCGCCCATCAATGAGCCTATACATCAAAAGGTAAGAAAACAGAAAGATGGGAGAAGCTTTAACGTGTTTGAACCAACAATGAATAGAAGAACAAGTCTAATCCACTTCATATTTTCACGCCCGAAGGTGCAAATTCACCTGGTTGGGCACTTGGCTGCCCCGCCTCCAGTATAGCAGTGGGTTGGTGAGGCTGACCATAATACAGCAGGAGCTCTACATCCCGGTCAAACTTGTGACCAGGGGACAGACTGACCTACAGAGACATAAATGTGGTTAAGTGCATGACAGCTGAAAGACTTTAACAGAATAAATATGCATGATGTATATTGTTCAATAAAGTAATTCAGGTATAAATTTCTGTCTGTTCTGAAAACAGGAAGCAAAGAGAACAAAGAGGATGCAGAAAGAGCTACTTTGGCCTCAGTGTTATCCTGGGAGAGGAACTCCAGTGGGGTGAGGGGGCAGTTGGACTGGACACTCTGGACGGTGCTGGGGGAGTATATGTGGACACCGAGGGACAGGGTGTATGGGACACTTTCCCCCTGGGGACCAGATCCCGCTGCTGTCAGGCTCTTACCGCCTGGAAGCGTGAAGATGGAGAAGAAATTAACAGAAGGTAAAAGTGAAAATGAACACCTGACACTCATTCATGTCCCTTTGAATGGGTGCCCTGAACATTTTTAAAGCTTTTGAAACTTCCTGATACTTAATGGGTTATGATGTGGCTCTGGATGTGGGCCAGCGCCACTCTCTCAAAACTTCGCGATGATTGGACTGGGTGCTGCTGGTCTGTAGTTGTTCATGCAGGTGGCTGTGCTTTTCTTGGGGCCACCTACATGAACGACTACAGACGAGTAGCACTCAGTCCAATCATCGTGAAGTTTTGAGAGAGTGGCGCTGGCCCACATCCAGAGCAACATCCCAGACACTCGCCTACCGGTCCAACGGTTCCATATTCGACGCCATCGCTGCTGCCTTTCTCTATTCCCTCTCCCACCTGGAAAACAAAGACTCCTACACCAGGATGCTCTTTGATGATTACAGCTCCCCCTTAAACACAGTCATCCCTCACAAACTGACCACACTCGGCCTGCACCCCACCCTCTGTGACTGGCTCCTAGACTTTTTGACTAGCAGACCTCAGTGTGTCAGGATCAATAACAGGACCTCAGCAAGCATCACCACAAACACTGGCATCCCACAGGTTTGTGTCCTCAGCCACATCTGCTACACCCTGTTCATCCAAGACTGTGTCACCTCCCACGAAGACAACATTATCCTGAAGTTTGCGGATGACACCGCAGTGATTTGTTGCATCACTGGAGGGGACGAAACGGCCTACAGGAGAGAGGTGGCCAGTCTGGTGTCATGGTGTGAGGACAACAACCTCACCCTCAACATGGACAAGACAAAGGAGATGATAGTGGACATGAGGAAGAGGAGGAGGCCTCATCAGCCACTGTTCATCCAGGAGCTTGAAGTGGAGAGGGTGAGCAGCTTTAAGTACCTGGGTGTCCACATCAGTGAGGACCTCACCTGGACACTGAACACCACACAGCTGGTCAAGAAGGTTCAACAGCGACTGTACTTCATGAAGAGGCTGAGGAAGTTCGGTATGTCAACCAAGATCCTCAGCAACTTCTACAGCTGCATTGTGGAGAGCACACTGACCAGCTGCATCACCACATGGTATGGAAGCACTACTGCTATGGACTAAACGCCTGCAGAGAGTGGTGAAGACTGCGGAGAAGATCATCAGGACTCAGCTGCCCTCTTTGCAGAGCAT